AGGTCAATCGACGGATTCAACTCGGTTGGGCAGCGTTCGGGAAATTACGGCACATCTTCTCGTCAGGTATACCTCAAAACTTGAAAACGAGACTGTACACCCAGTGCGTGTTGCCAGTGATGACATACGGAACTGAGACGTGGTCCTTCACTGCTGGCCGGATGAGGAAGCTCAAGGTCGCTCAGCGAGCTATGGAGAGGGCTATGCTCGGAGTTTCTCTGCGTGATAAACTCAGAAATGAGGATATCCGCAGTAGAACTAGAGTGTCCGACATAGCCCAACGGATTAGTAAGCTGAAGTGGCAATGGGCCGGCCATATAGCTCGAAGAACCGACAACCGATGGGGAAGAAAGGTTCTCGAGTGGCAGCCTCGTACCGGCAGGCGAAGTGTAGGGCGTCCCCCCACTAGATGGAGTGACGACCTGGTAAGATATGCAGGAAGTCGATGGATGCAGGTGGCTCAGGACCGTGCTTTGTGGCATACTTTGGGGGAGGCCTATGTTCAGCAGTGGACTTGTGAAGGGCTGTAATGAAGATATTAATATAAAATAAATATAAGAATTTAATATAAAATATCTTAATTTAATCTAAAGAAACATATTTCTAAATAAAAAGTAATAATTATTATTTTATGGAATTCACAAATCTTCAATTTACGCAATATTTAGTTTGTATGGATTGCACTACAGTTCAGTTGAACATAGTCAATGTTCAGAATGGCTTCTCTAGTACGTAGTACATATAACTCAATGGAATTGTCAAGTTCTTTTATTATTGTATATTTAAATAATATTTGCTATATGAGAGTAAGTACACTCGAATATTCTCATTTAACAGAAAAATAACATCCCTATTGCAGTATTATGTGTGACGTTACTGTACAAGATATGACGTCTTTAATCTACAGTGATTTCAATCGCAATGTTAGCAACACTCCACATCGATATACTCGGTTTTGTTAATTATTTATTTTTTATTACTTTATTATATGTCTAAAAGTAGAAAGAAAATAGGACTATACTTATTATTCGGGCGATCAAGTAAATTTATTTCTAAATCACGTGATGATGATTAGTATATTACATTGCAAATATTCGTTTCGCAAACTTTAACAACTAATAGTTAGAGAGGTATGAATATTAAGTCTTGACAGGCACATCGCCACTGATCGCGTCCAATTATTATGAGTGAGAGTGTGCATTAAAATCGGTCCAGTCGTACGTCGACTTGCCACTTGCTTAGTGGAAAATAAAACCATCGACTATATTCCACAAAGCTTTATCTGGTTAAATGAAAATATTTCGAAATCATGAAGTTAAGGCAGAATCATGATAATGTAGTGTAGCGTGTAGTCGCGGCGTAAAAAAATCCACTACCTCCTACCAAATAATATTATTATTACTTCGAAGCTCTATGGCCCCATACCATCACGTGAGTATCGAAATAAAAACGACAGAGGGAAAAGAAACAGGAAACAGGCAACAGTACCTTCCATAATAACACAAAATAATAAAAACTGCCGTTGCCAGCCCACTTGCTAAGAGAGGAAAATATGGCAAATGTTCCCCCTACGTTCACCAGTGGACTTTTGAATTTTGCTGAATTAATGGATGATGGATAATATCTTGAGGGAACAGAGGAAAATGGGTAATACGTTCGCATTCGCAATCGATTTATTGGTTTTTTTTTTAAAACGTTACCCCCACACTAGGATTTTCTCCTGTATCGTGGAGGCAGTTTACAAACATATATTGCACAAGGACAAACATCCAGACCCGGAACAATTATTCGTAGGCCATACAAATACTTGTTCCATGCGGGATTCGAACCCGCGGCCCCAAGCGTTGCAACTCATTGCTAAGCCACTACACCACGGAGTAGTTGTGATCTAGCGACAAAAGAGAAGGCAGAACGCGGTTGTGCTGCTGTTATTGTACCATCGTAACAATGCCCTGTGGGTACATTCTTGAAGCAAACCTAATGTGGATTAAACAAACACAGTTATTATTCCCTGTGAACCCCATAATAAGTCTAACGATAATTTGGCAGAAATATACCAGCTGAATTTAAATAGATTTCTTAGTGACCTTTTCACGTTTTTTTTTAAAATTGTACAACGATAGTACGAAATCTCGCATTATTCGACTACGTTTTTTCGTAAGATGCAGATGAAGCTTCCATAAACTTTCATTGATATAAATAAGTATTAGGAACTCGATTAAGGACCTAGTTACATTTTTAACGTGCTTGAATTTAGATGTTCGAATTGTTAATTGATTTACGCATGCGCACATTGAAGTAGTTTCCGCTATATTTTATATATTATGCCTAACGAAAATTGATACTTACTCAGACCAACAAAGGAAGAAAGACTGAGCGCTGCGTACATTTGTGAAATGTGAACCTATGCTCAACCTTCTTGACACGCACTCTCATATACATCTTTTTTTCTTTTTTCTTTATCAGCCCTTAAAACTTTACTGATGGCTGCACACATGGATGCACCTAAAACCCTGTTACTGGTTGCAAGTGATTTTATAATAGTGCGTGTTCTTGCAATAGGTCAAGCATGGGTTTGGCTTGGATTGCATCCCTAGAAATGTACGCAGCGCTCCGTTTTTCTTTCTTTGTTGGTAAAGTTAGTTGGCGAAAGTTTGCAATCGCATTTGCATGATATGGCTATGGAATATGGCATGATAATAATATTCATATTATTTATAAATTTTAGTGTGGTGTGCGGGTTCAGTATTATTATATATATTAAAACATTGACTCGAATCTGTAGTTATTAATATTGAATACAACAATATATTTAGAAAACGATTGAACAGGCAAGGCTATGTCATTAAATCAAAAAACATTTGAATATTATCCTACACGACTGAATAGGCTTATGGTTATTGATCATTGCATATTCCGAAGGAGACTTAACTTGGTAACTTCAAGTTTCAGCTTGTCATGCGGCATGCGCATTTGGCATTGTAGCTGTTTTTTTGAATAGATTTCGTGTTTTTACTTTCGTGGATTTATTTAACTTGACTGTTGGATTTTCTCTCGGATCACAGGACACAATAACAGGACAGAATAATGTGATACTTAAGTTTTGAGAGGAATAGAACAGACGATGTACAGTCTGCTGCTGTTTTTCTTTAGATGACATTTTATTGATAATTGCAGAAAATAGTTAAACAATTAAAAAAGGTTGCGTTTTATTTTACTTTATAAAATAATAACTACAAAACTGCATTCTTTTGTGTTTTTTCAATTTATTCAAACAACCTATCACAAGAACGAGTGATTTTACTGCATAACCTACAAATCATAAAACAAAATAAAAACAAAAAAACCCCAGGCCCGGCAAAAATATGATTTTTGGATATAAGTAGGAAATATTTAAATTTTCAAACTAACACATATTTTAAGTTTGTTCACGCCGGGTTCAAGCTTGTATGGAATCAAGATTATCTCCTTTAAATTTGCCTTATGTAATAAAAAAATACACACAGCGGGAATCCCCTTAGATTACAAATAATAAACATCATATACCTACACTTTTCTTACATAACTTTTTCTGTGTCTAGAACGGTGTGATGATATTTTTATATGCATAGACTTAGAAGCTCATTATCTGATTATTAAATTTGAACGCAATGCATTTGCGCGTGCATAATTGGTCAGAACTAGCAAAATAAAACCAGATAATAACATTATGGTGTTAATAATGATTAAGAACGCGTGGCCTTTGAATGATTTAATTTGATCTCTGATTACGTTTCGGTTTACTAAGAACTATATTTTTACTACGCATAATAAATAGCTCGAAACAACTGCCAAGATGTAAAATGCCACTACAGTCCCTCCCTATTCTTTTTTTAAATCTGCTAAAAATTTATTTCATTGAACGATAGTGATGATTTTTCATGGTTCAATATAACTTCAATAACTTTCGTATCATCATCATTTCAGACATCACTAGTCCATTGCTAAGCAAAGGCCTCCCCTAAGGAATGCCTTAAAACACGGTCTCTGGCTACCTGCACCAAAAAACTTTTCATATATTTCTAAACAGGTCGTCACTCCTTCCAGGGGGGGAGGTACTCCGCTTGCCGGCACGAGGCTACGACTAGAGAACCTTTTTTCCCCATCGGTTGTCGCTTCTTCGAGCTACATACGTAGCAGGCGGCCATTGCCACTCTAACTTACAGAACCTTTGGGCTATGCTGGTTATTATGGTTCTATTGCGGATACCTTTATTCCGGATTACATTACGCAGGGAAACTCCAAGCATAGTCCTCTCCAAAGCTCGCTGAGTGGCCAACATTATTCTTACGGCCATCAATTAAGGACCACGTCTAGTCCCTTATATCATTACTGACAACACGCACTGTTTGTATCTACTTATATTTTTTTTATTATTATGTTATTTTCATTATTACTATAACTCGCCCTAATTCTATCTATAATTATCTATTACCGACAAAAACCATGTAAGATAAAGTCGGTAGTAGGCTCGGGTGTAAGGTCAATGTCTCTTTTTAGATTAGATTATTAAACATATCCACATATGAAAACCAACCGTTAGTGAAAAAACTAACATTCACATATATGTGATTGGAATCCTGGTGTATCGTCGAATTAATCGAAAAGATGGACAAAATTATCTATTTGTAACATTGAAACAAAATACGGTTACCGACCAAACAAGAGATATAGATACTTTTATTGTGCTGAGGGTTTAGGATAGGATTAGGAAAGTTAAAGTTTAGAAGGTTAAATTAATCCCAAGATCATGTGTATTTCACAAGGCTCACATTAAAAACATTATCAAGACCGTCGAAGACGACGGTTTCATGCCGATATTCAAAATCATGTATTTATTATATATTGGCACATCCCGATGATCTGCACTTTCATTATAATATATGTGGACTTGCGATGGGCTGTGAAGGATATGAATATGAAAGTTGATTTAGAAAAGTAAAAGGAAAATAATTAAATACCTCTATCTGAAGTCATAGCGATATAGATCCTCCGAATTTTACTCTTCGGTTCATCGCCCTGCTTTTTATCTTCAGCAGGTTGCGGTGGTGAGGCATCATCTTTGGTTTTTTTGTCACGCTTTTCTTCGTCATCGAGTGCGTCCTTTTGTAAATGACTCGAAACGTAAAACTTACGTGGGCCATAGCCGAATGCTCGGGCCGATTTTAATTCTCGTTCTGCTTTAGTGAACCTTGAAAATTAAATATATACCATTACCGTTACAGCCTATTAAAGTCAATCGCAGTTTTTTTTTTATTAGACGTTATTAGGAAGACGCTGCTGCCCATCTCCTGATTTGATAACCTCTGTCACCTCTTACAACACCCATGACATGATATGCAGTAGTACATATTCTTATACCACAACTGGCTGTTCCCCGTGACTTCGCCCGCGTGTTATTTGGGGTTTTAATTTTTTTGCACGGAACCCTAATTCTTTTTCTAAAATAAAAGTAGCCAAAGTTACTCCTTGTGACATTAGCTATCTGGCAGTGTAAATCCCGTCAAAATTGGTCCAGCCGGTTTGGAGATTAGCCGGAACAAACAGATAGACAGACGGACAGACATACAGACAGACAAAAATTTAAAAAATTGTATTTTTGTTATTAGTACGTATATACTTTCATATGTATTTAGTAAAAAGCTGTAATTTTGAAATTACAAACAAACACTTCTATTTTATTTATTTGTATAGATTACACGGTAAATTAAAAATATACAGAGTAAAAACGAAAGTTTAGAGAAATAGAATAAAATAAAAGAAACGTTCTGAATTCGTTTTACCTTAAAAATTATATATTTGTATAACTAAGTTTCAAACTTCCTTTTTGAAAAATAATACTCTTCAATTTTTTGAAAATTTCGTTTTCGACCACAAAAAACCAGTAGTATCACAAAATAAGTTTGTTCTACATAAACTCGCTTAATAAAATATTTTAGCAACAAATATACAATATATAATATTGTCGGAGACCAGAATTTCGTGTTTGCTGTTCCGGATTACTATAGTGAAAATTAACTTATTTTGTCACATGGATATTTCGTTTAAAGGAAATTCTGTAGAATGTGGTACATTTATTGTCAACTGCGTGCTTATTATACAGCAAACGCTTTGAAAAGGTCTATGAGTACAGTAATGAGTAGATTGTATATGGCATAATGGCGATTTTCTTATTAAGATTACATTTGAAAAGCTCGCCCTGAGTTATTTTTTTTTAAATAAGGGTGACAAACCAGCACACAGTCTACCCAAAGGTAAGTATTCACTTTGACTCATTGATAACTACTTCTATCTTCGAATAAGTTATCTATATCTATTATCTATAACTATATACTGTAATAAAACTAACACGACCTCTGTCTGAACACGCATCACGCAAAAAACCTGTAACCTGTAAAAATAACTAAAAAAAAGCGGCTGCAAAGCGTGGCAGCTATGGCAAATATTTCCTCTAAGGGGCAATCTATGGGGGAGGCCTATGTAAGTTGTGGACTTCTCGTAGGTTGTGGATTAATAATTTAAAATTAAAAATTTTGTACAGCCGACTTCAATGCAAATTATTAAGTATAACTCAAAAAAGTACTGGTCAGACCTTGATCAAATTTATATGGGACCACATGAGAAGCACCAGCTTTCAAATAAAAATAATAATCACCGAGAAAATAGTTATGAGGTAACACACATAAAGAAAAACATACAGTCGAATTGAGTACCAGCTCCTGTATGAAGTCTGCAGAAAATAATCATCTAGCAGTAATACATACAATAACCTTGCATTTGGAGAAGTTGTTTTAATTTACCGGAAAACATAATTAATGCGCTTGTCGCTACAAAAACACATTACCATGTAAATTTAAATAATTCTAGCTGATTATAATTTTGAGACGTAGTTCTTTTGATCTACAACAAGAAATATTATATTATTATTAGTATTAGCATCTGGATGCTTGGTGGTTCACCACTGTGCGTTTTAATATAGTTTTCTTCCTCGTACAACTTCTCTGTGGAGATTTTTCCGGACCGATACAACTTAGGGACCTTCAAGCAAAGAGCCTACTCCTTTCTAAAAGGCCGGCAATGCACCTGCAATTCCCCTGGTGTTGCGGTTGTTTACGGGCGGCGGTAGTCACTTACTATCAGGTGAGCCGCATGCTCGTTTGCCCCCTCTTCTATAAAAAACAAACCGATTTAGATGGGACTTTCACTGACCGATAACATGTTACGAGGAGTAACTTAGACTAATTTTATTTTAGAAAAGAATTGGAGTTCCGCGTAACAAAATGAAAACCTAATAATAACCTAATATAAAGTAATGAATTCCAAGCGAATGAAGTCGCGGAGGACAGCTAGTTGTGTAATAAAAAGATACAGTCATTTAAAACTACAAAAGTGACAGTTTTGCTTAAAGATTAATCATTACTTGCTTGCTGAAACCATCTTCATAGTCTTAGTAATCTTCTGAATATTCCTTATTGATTTTAATCGATAAGACACTTGTTTTAATTGGACCATGTCGCTTGCTTAACGTTAGCGTATTCGATTAGTTATGTCAAAGTGACGTTCTTGATTGATTGATTTTATAATAAAAAAGAAGAAATTATTACAACTGTGATTATATTCTCTTTGTTTACAACCTCTGTACCGGTGTTAAATATACTTAATAATTATTATTTATTTTAATTTATACTCTCCATTTTCTTTTGTTTTCTCAAGTTTCACTTATGTATAATCTATATTAAACTACCTGGCCATGCCGACGTTATTTTGGTCTTTCCGATGACCATTCCTATAAGAATCCTTAAATTCGCATTAACAATATTGAGGATCACTTATCGGGATAAAACTTTGGATAAAACTATCCTATCTCACAAGTGGCCAAATTGCACAGAGTGTGCAAAATTTCATTGAAATCAGACAAACAACGTGAAATGTAATTTTTATATATATACATAAATGTGTATATCATCATCATGTATTATCACGATTAAATCTTTACGTTTTTATTTCAAGACACAGGTCTCAGTAACTGGTTATAGCTAGAAGCTATCGTTGGCACAGTTAATTATTATATTATTATTGAACGCTTCTTCCATTCTACTCTAGTAAAGTATCACATATTGCCAACCTTTGCTTTAAAAAACTGAATATAAGTGTGTAAAAATGTAATATAATTAAAGATAATATGTATTATTGTCGTTATTTACAAATAAAATAAATAAATATAACCAAAACGTGTTTCATGCCTAACGTCATTAAGTGTACTTGTTCAAGGATATCGGCAATGTTTACTAACACTAAGAAACCACCAGCGCTCGCGTCATACGTAGCTAATAATACTTTTTTTTTTAATAATTTATTATTGCGCATTGACACACAGTTACGAGTACGTATAATGCGAACGTCATTACTAACTATATTAATTTCAACAATATGTTCAATAAATTTTAATGACAATGAAACTATCAAGCTAACATACACAAGATACAGAAACTACGATAGTTAAAAAAACTTAAAATAGGGTACGAAATTAACCTTATAAATACAGCAGGTAACAACAATAAAAAACTTTGGGATGCAATAAAAAACATCACAAACACATCCAAAATAAAAAAATACGGCTATGGAATTAATAAACAGGGCTTTTCCGAAAAAAATCTGTGGATGATGGTAATGAGTTCTTCGTTTCGGTTGGCAAAACTTTGGCTGAGAAGACTATAGCTTGTAAGAATCCATCACACATTAATGTTTTCTCAATGCAGTCTCATAGGCCTTTACAGTCTTTTGTTTTGTTGGATACCGATGAGGCTGAAGTGGAGCGCTTAAAAGTGTCTGTTCAGTAGGTTAGGATTCTAACCCTGACTACCTCTTAAAGGAGAACAGACACATCTTAGTCCCAGCGTTAACTTACATTTTTAATCTCTGCTTGCATGAAGGCACTTATCCCACGGTTTTAAAGAAATCAGTAATATTACCTATCTATTAAAACTGGCGATAAAAACCATGTAACAAAGTACAGAGATATTCATATAAATGTTTTTATAATTTCTTTTTTTTATCTTATGATCAATATTTAAGTACTTACATAACACTCAAATATACATAATTAATTACTACAACAAAAATAAATAAAATTTAAAAATTAAATTGCAGATAATATAGTCATACTCCCCGTGGTGTAGTGCCAATAACACTGGCTTACTTACATACTTAGCCTTTAAGCGAGAAAACAACCAGCCCTCTTATTACCAGCAGTGATGAGAACTCGTGGGTACAGTTCCTTTAGGAACTTGACCGATAATCTCTACAGCAAATGACAATAATATGTGGTCATCTCTGAGAGACACATAATTGCGCCCCGGCTATAAACGAGGTACTTCTGAGATGACCGGTTGCCTAAGTGCCATACGCACGTTAGCAGTCAGTACGGATTTCTTATATCCGTATTATGACCGAAGGAATTGTATTTCTCAAGCATTTGGACCAATCGAAGGCGTTCCATTACGTAAATCATACTACACTATTAAACAAATTAAGGCCTTAATTATATTATTATTTATTATAGCAGCTTAAAGCTGCTGTGTTTCGCATGGTGAGTATAGAGAATTGAAGACCCTTTTTACTGGAAACGAGACATTCCATGAAGACATTCCTCACGGGTGACAGCGCATCTGTATTTTGGTTCGTACGAGGGTGACACTAAAAGTTCTTATAAAATCACAAACTTAATAAACTAGCAAGTTCTTAGTTTTATTATATCTTTTCAAAATAGTATCCATTTACATTTTACATCAATACATCGTTGCATCCGATGGAACCACTGAGAATAGCACTTTGACCACTCTTCCTTAGGGGTCTCTTCGACGACATTTTGAAATGCAGCCACTGCTTCCTCGGCGTCCATAAATTGTTTTCCTGGAAGTTTTTCTTTTATTTTCGGAAATAAATAAAAATCGTAAGGTGCGAAGTCAGGGTTATAGGGCGAGTGACCCACTAATTCCACATATGACGTCACCAAGTAGTCGATTGTTTGCTTGGCGATGTGCGACGAGGCGTTGTCGTGGTGGAGGAGGATCCTACTGCGAATTCGTTTCTCCCGAACTTTTTTCAAGACATTTTCGATCCTCTAAAACAATTGTTGCGTAATGACCTGTCCTTCCGAAGAACAAGGCCACCATCTTTTTTCCCACGATTCGACCTCTCTTCACTTTATTTGGCAACTCCTCGGAAGGAAACATCCAGACAGCAGATTGTCTCTTAGTTTCAGGATCATCACAATAAATCCAGATTTCGTCACCCGTAAGTATGTCGAACACAGCATTTAAGTAAGCTCCGTCTTTGAAGCAATTCACGACACCAATCAACAAAACGGAGTTTTTGGGCCTCTCTCAAATTATGAGTATCCACCGGACACAAAGCTTCCTGACCGCTAAATGTTCATTGTAGATTTTGTGCACTTGACTCATACCGATGCCTTAGTTTGACCAAATCTACTGATAAGACACTATTTTGTCAGTCTCTATCATACGCCGCACAACACTGATGTTATCTTCAGTCGTCGCCTTAGAAGGCCTTCCCTCACGCAGATTATCACTGAGATTAGTGCGACCACGTTTAAACTCATTAAACTAGTTGTAAACAGTGGCACGAGATGGAGCTTCATCGTAAAAGCCAATCGAAGTCTATCATAACTTTTTTGTTGACTTAAATGACATCGAAAGTCATAATAAGTCATTGTACGAAAATTTTCTCGCCTTAAATTCATGCTGACCTGACACAGACAATTTTCAATTTGCCGCCAAATCGTAAACAAATGACAAATTAATAAAATACATACACAATAATATTGGCTTCCAGAGTTCCATTTTCAAAATTTGAACTTATATTTTATTATGTCGTTTACAAGAGGCCAGTTCTAAAAACTTTCAGTGTCGCCCTTGTATTCGAAGATATTTGTAGTTATCTATGGGCCATAGCAACCACTTACCAACTTACCATGGTGGACTGCGTGCTCGTTTGTCACATTTTTACTATAAAAAAATAATAATTGTATCCCAATAAACTCAGGTAACCTTATAAAATCACACCTGTCGGACCGGTTGCTAATAGTGGTAATTAAATGGACCTGGATCTTATCACCCCACTATTATTATTAACACTACGTAAGTCATAACTAACTTTTAAGATACAGTTACTGAGCATCTTATATGTAAAGATACACCGTAATCAAATATGTTTATGTATTATTTGCAATTGTTATTATATACCGTCAGTCTTTAACAGGCTCTTAATTTGTAATTTATGTAGAAGTTTTTAGGTACTGATAGAAGTAAGGATGAAAAACAAATACACAGTAAATAACATGGATGGATGGCAGCCCTACATATTTATGTATCCGTTCAATTTTCCCTTAATCCGTCCTAGTTTTGAGAGTGTCCGGGGCTGCTGGTGCTGGTCTCCAAAAGTGTGTCCAGGTGATAAAAAAATTAAATATTAAAAAAAGTATGAAAAGTGTGAAATTTGTAATGAATAATAATTGATCAGTCAATTCATGTGTATCATTCCATTCGGAGACACCTTTCCATCAGAGCCCCAATCCAAATGTAAACCCATATTTTTAAAGAAAAGATGGAAAGAACCGTATCGGTCCAGAAAATCGAATAATTCTTCTGAATTCTCCCCTTGGTAAATGTGATAGTAAATGGAAAGGGATGTAACATCTCTTCGCAGCGCGAGTTAATCGAGCTGATTAGAATGAACTCTGTCGTCGACTATTTCGATACGGTCAAGTGGAAGGTCAAGCGGTCAAGTGGGGTGCCTGAGCCTCTAATTCCACGTGGGCCTAATTTATGCCTTTTAAATTTAAAGTAGCAAACGCGGTGCCGGCATGAAATACTTTCCCGCTTTACTGTGCACTCCTAACCTTTTGGAGGTCAATTTGCCAAATTTTAATCTCTTTGCCAAATATAAATGCCCATGGACAGCACCGCCCCTCAGCTCAGTATACGTGGCGGCAGATATTTAGATTTCATTACGAGTACCAACCTTTTATATTACTTAACCTAGCTAGATAATTTGCATTTTTGTTTAATTTCATACTAAAATGGGCGACCATTAGTATTTTTGCTTCCAAATACCTCTGAACAAGAGTATTGTATAATTTATTAGAAATAAACCCTAATTACCAAAGTAAGTATTTTATGTGAAACGTTTAATTAAAAAAAAATTATACATTATGTTGTATTTGCTGGGGTTTATGTCGATTTTGTCAAACATTGCTAAATAAAATAGCGTACAAGCTACCTACATATCATTTTATCATGTGACCGTCCCCTTAGATTGCATTTTTAAAAACTTTTATTTAACTTGCAGTGTTTGTTTGTTAGGGTCAAATCTTGCAACTGAATTTTAAAGCAGTTATCCTCAACTGATTAAGCTGAAATTATTCAAACATTTTAAGTGTGTATGACAATGCATGGTTAGCTAAGTGATGTCATTCTAAATCCAATATGGTG